CCCTTCTCTTTCCCTCTCCCTCCCTGCTTCTTTCTGTTAGGGTGTTATGTAGCCCAGGCTGAACTCAAACTCAATAGGTAGCTGAGGATGATTTTGAACTCCTGATCCTCCTGCCTCTACTTCCCCAAGTGCTACAGTTACAGGTATGTGCTATCAAACCTGGTTTCTTGGTGATTTTTTTTTTCCATGACAGGATTTCTCTGCATATCCCAGGTTGTCCTGGAACTTGCTCTGTAGACCAGGCTAGCCTCAAATGCAGGAATCTGCCTGCCTCTGCCTCCTGAGTGCTGGAATTAAGGCCTGTACCTCCATACCCTGCTTGTTGCTTCTCTTGCAATTTCCCTCTTTGATGCTTTTGAAGGGCTTCATGGCCACAGTTCAGGCTTCCAGCTCATTGGAGCACCCCTACCTCCCGCTGTTGTGTTTTGAAGCTCATCCTGAACTCTTACATTTCATTTATTTTGTTTTCTGTTTTGTTATTATTTTTAGGGGTTTATTTTTGTTTCTCTCTCTCTCTCTCTCTCTCTCTCTCTCTCTCTCTCTCTCTCTCTCTGTGTGTGTGTGTGTGTGTCCCATGTATGTGCGGCAGCAGGAAGTGGGATCAAGTTCCCTGGAGCCAGAGTTGCAGATAGTTGTGCATTACCTGATGTGGGTGCTGGAACCGAGCTAGGGCCCTCTTTCCTGCCACCGTCACATTTCTTAGAGAAAAGCAGGTGCTCAGAAGCAAGCCTGGAAGTTCTGATCCCTGCCCTCTTCCCAGTGCCAACACCCAGGTGTGTGCCACCAGGCCTGGCTCACTTCTTTTCTAAGGGATCAAAAGTTTTCATCCCATAATTTTATAAGCAGTATATCGTCTTAACTCTTTGAGGATATTAATTACGTTTTCAGAAGCTCCCTCCATGCTGGGGAATGTGGCCCAGTTGGTAGAGTACTTACTTAGCATCCAAAAAGCCATGTTTGATCCCCAGCCTCACATAAACCGGACATGGTGGAATAAGTTTGTAACCCCAGCACTTGAGAAGCAGAGCCAGGAGGATCAGATGCTACAGGCCATCCGCAGATAGATCATGAGACTGGGGCCAGCCTGGGCTACTCGAGATCCTGCCTCAAAAACAAAACAAAACAAAACAACAACAACAAATCAACCCATATTTATTTGGTTTGTTCCTTTGTTGTTTTTCCTTGTGATTTATTGCCTATTGAGTTGGTGCCTTGGTTTTATTTTTCTCTTCAAGTAATTTAATTCTTGGTATTTGTTTATTTCTATGAGTTTACTTCTGTTTATTTCTTGGTATTTGTTTATTTCTATGAGTTTACTTCTGTTTATTGATACCTTGACTTTTTTGTTTGTTTTCTTGGTTTTTGAAGACAGGGTTTCTCTGTGTAATTCTGGCTGTCCTGGAACTCACTTTGTAGACCAGGCTGGCTTCTAACTCACAGATATTCCCCTGCCTCTGCCTCCTGAGTGCTGGGATTAAAGGCGTACGCCATCACTGCCTAAGGACACCTTGACTTTTGATACACTGGTTGTTTGGGTGAAAAATGGGGAACAAGTGTGCAAAAGATCTCAGCCATCTGACTTTGAAGGAACACTACGGGTCACCAGTTGATGAGTCTATGGTGCTAGATAGATAGTTCAAGCTGGCCTTGAACTCACTGTATAGCCCAAGATAGCTTCAAACTTGCAATCCTGCCTCAGCCTCCTGAATACTAAGAATGTAGGTGTAGGTGTGTACCACCCCTCTCAGCTGCATGCCTGATGCTTGATACCAGCAGGGACAGAGGCATGCTTCTTTTTTTTTTTTTTTTTTTTTTTTT